TATTATTATCTTGTTCCTGTGACACAGAGTGATTATCATATTCGGTAGAGAAATGCGGTAGAACTCTTATTCAACTTTTCAAAATTTTAAGGTTGGTTATTAATTTTATTTTCAGGTCTGAATATTTTCTTCACCTTTTCTAGAATATGTCATGAACATACAGCGTTGTAGCAGGGCTCCAGATGTTCTAAATTCGCAAATGGTCTTCGCAGTCCGCAAGGAAGTTCCAGTTCTCATTATTTTAATTTGTTCTTTTCACAACATTTTTTCCCGCAATAATGTCATAGTAAGTTACTATTTTCAGGGTAATTTAATTAAAAGTTAAATGTTAAAAAAACCGTGTCGATTGATGTTTATTTGGGGGCGGGGGCGGGGGGTTGGGCTAGTTAGCGTTTTAAGGCATTTGCAACACTATAAGGATACACAAGTTCCGAACATTAGAGGTGTTGCAAGAGAGTAACACACACAAAAAAGGGGGAGGAGAGATAGGGACGATAGACGTTTGCTAGGAAAGAAGGTACCGACCACCCCAGAGTACCCGCCAACCACCCGCATGAATACATGTATCTTTTTATTTAGTTCTGGTAAGTGTTCTACAGCACTTGCAAAACAATAAGGTCATAAAAGTTCCGAAGATTTGAGGTGTTACAAAGGAGAAACAAATTATAGGAAAGAAGGTGCAGACCACACCAGAGTACCCGCCAACTACCAACATTAATACAATATGTATCTTTGCGTTTTGAAAACGGCAAAAGGCAACTTACCTTTCAAACAACCGGTTTTTCTGCGTTGGTCCTTGAAGAACTGCTGGACTTCTTATCAAGACGACTTTTCACGCGTGTTTAACACGACACATCAGTAAGAAGAAGGAGGAGGAGAGAGTTGTTCAAACTTCCTTCCAGAAACGACGTATGTCCCTCAACGTTCTCTTGTATTTGTTTGATCTGAGTGATCTAACTCTTAGTTTTTGGACAGTCTGACTGTCTAGATCAGACTGTTTCGAGTGGGGGTATCTCCATATAGGAAGGCGTTTGCTTGCCCGTCTGATCGCTCTCTCGTCTCTTTGGGCTTTTCTTATCTGAAGAAAGTTACAGACGCAATAAATTGTACAGGAGATTTAGACCATTTACGCTACTAAGAACGAGTGAAGAAAAAATAATGTGATCATGGTAGATACATCGAAAATAGATAGACAGACAGACAGGCAGACAGACAGACAGATAGACGGATAGACAGACGGGTGAACAGACAGACAGACGGATTGATAGACAGGCAGGCCGGCAAGCATGCACGCAGACAGGCAGTAAGGCAGGTAGGCAGGTAGAAAGGAAGGTAACAGACTGACATACAGAGAGAGATGGACAGACGGACAGACGGATAGATAGATAAGTAGATAGACAAGATAGATAGATAGATAGATAGATAGATAGATAGATAGATAGAT